GCGAGCGCGAAAAAAATTCGGTTTTATAGCGCGCCAAAATCGAGCAAAAATAGCGGGATGTACTCCTACCCCACACCCTAACTAAATTAGGGTGTTACCTCTTTCGCTTCCAGAGAAACAAATGCACATGTGGACGGACATCAGGTCGCTTACAAATGGAATGTTTATATGAGCCCAATGGATTGGTTTTTCGAAGCAGAGATGTAGGGTAAAACTGTTAGCGACCACGGACCTTAACGAATTGTAAATAGACCCTTCTACATATCTCCCTCCGCCTTCTCCCTTTCTTTCTTTTCCTTTCTCTCCCTTTCCTTCTCCCTTTTTTCTTTCTCTTTCTCTTCCTTTCTCCTCCCCTTTCCTCCCTTTCTACCTCCCCTTTCCTCTCCTCTTTACCTCCCCTTTCCTCTCCTCTTTACCTCCCCTTTCCTCTCCTCCTACCTCCCCTTTCCCTCCTCCTCCACCTCCCCTTTCGGGATTTTGAGGTGGGTCGGCCGACCCACCTTGACCCCCGTTTGGGCGCCCCTGTAGATGTATGCCAGGCGTGTCGCAGCGTAACAGTGTTTCGTGAGATATCGCGAAGCCTGTTACGCGAGACGTGGTCTGGCGTACATCTACCTAGTTTACGACACCACTTGCCCCCAAAATTAGCTAAACATTTCCTGTAAAATTACAGAAATTTTTTTAACAGTGTGTAATGCATTCTTGAATGGGTCTCTGAGTGTGCTATGAACCCCTAGTTTTGGTATTGCATACTACTTTTTGCTTGGGCAGCGAGCGCGCGCGCGGAGCGGTCTATTTAGAGAGCAGGTTGTTCATTGCTAGGCGACTCGTAAATGTGGCAAGTGGTGTTGATGTTGAACCATGACGCTGCCTCAACCCCCCCCCCCCCTCCCTACTTCCCCCCGCAAACGTCCATCCTGGCCGTCAAGACCCAGGGCATGTCCGCTATTGTCCTTTAGCCCAAAAAATCAAAAGAAATTTTTCGCTAGCTTCGACTTTAACTTGCGAGGGACGCGTGGCCCTGTCTCCAATACTGTGTCCACGACGAGTCACCTCCACCGAGGCGGCCGCATCCACCCGTTGCCATTCGTTTTGTCCCTTGTTTTTTGTTTTTTTCTAGATATGCTACACTGTAAAAAAGTTTTACTGAATTTTCAGTACTTTAAGTCTGAAGTTTTTTTTACAGGCCAGTAGTCTGAAAATTCAGACTGCATCCGGGTCTGAAATTTCAGTAGTGCCTTATCATACCACTTAGTCTGAAAATTCAGACAGCCAGTATGAAAATATTTTTGCAAACGTTAAAAATGAACACATAGCGAACGACTTGTGGGGGTAGAGGGATATGCCCAGGTGAAGACATATCTGTCCATTCGGCACTGCCCTTGGTTGGGATCGAACCGCCAACCTTAACCATTCGGCTGCGGGCTACCTGCGTGGGGAGCAGCGTCGGCTACTGGTGTGCTTCGCCCGCCTGTCCGGTGGACTTCCCACTCGCAATTCATACCGGAACTCTAAATTATAGATTTAGTGTATAGTCTGAAAATATACTTTAAAATTTTCAGACAAATTGCTCTGAAAACCTGATTCAGAGTAAGAAGTCTGGATTTTTAGTCTAAACTTAAAAAAATTTGAGTAATGGTCTGAAAACAAAATTCAGAGTGCCGATTCTGAAAAACATCTACTAAATTTTCAGAATTTTTTTTACAGTGTATCTCCCCCTCCCTCATTCATATTGTCGTCATAACACAACTTTATTCGATATAAAATTGTCCTCTGTGCACGCACTTGGAATTGACTCTGCAGGGCTACCAGCACCGTGGCGCTGCTCGCCTGGAGGCAGCTCACGAGCGCGGCCGTGTCGGCCCCGGTGCAGCCGACCATCTCGGCGAGGCGCTTGGCCTTGGCGGCAGCGGCGGGCTGCTGCGCCCAAGGGTTGAGTGGCGAGCCGCTCATCGCCACCGCCTTGTGGAACAGGCCCTTGGACAGCGGCGACAGTGTGTGCATCAGGACGCTTGCCCCACCGGCTGAAAAGCCGGCCAGGGTAATGCTCTGCTTGTTGCCACCGAAGTAAACGATGTTCTCTTGCACCCAACGCAGGGCCTGGACCTGGTCCAGCATGCCCACATTGCCAGGTAGCTCCTCGTCCTCAAAGCTCAGGTACCCTAAAACAAACACACACTAAAATAGACGGAAATAGGCGCAGAGTTTACCTGGACACCCTGCAGCATTGCAACATGCAAGGCAACAGTAGCGCGCCCCTCCCTCCAGCTCAATTCGCTTGCTAAAGGACAACTTCACTGGAGAGAGACGTCATTTTTGAAAGCAATTTTCATTGTGAAAAAAGACCTTTAGCCAAACAACGATCTAAAAATGGAAAATTTTAACCCCAAGAAAACCGTTAGATTTTAATTCAAATTTGTTGGATAAGGCACCGAGCATATTAATTTTAAAGAGTTACTTTCAAGTACAGCGTCGGTATATACAGTACTCGGTACTTGCTCAAGGTATGTGTAAATTCACACACCTGCAAGTGTGTGAATGACTATTCACACTCTTGGGGTGCGTAAAAATGGCTACCTTTTCAAGTGTACGAATTTCTATTCGCTCACCTACAAGTGTACTATTCTCTATTCGCTCACCTACAAGTGTACGAATCTCTATTCGCTCACCTACAAGTGTGTGAATATTTTTGCTCACCTGCAGGTGTGTGACATTCGTACACTTCGATTTCTTGTGTGCTTTACAGACCTAGAACACCCAAGCGGTAGTCAACGGTGACGACCACCACGTCGTAGTCCATGAGGTATTGCAGCCCCGTTCGAGCCCCATTGCCGGTCATGAAGGCTCCGCCGTGAATATGAACAATCACGTCCAGACCGGCTGCGCGATCATACTGCTCGAAACAGAATAAAAATGTCAACATTCACTAAGGAAACTCGAAGGGTCTGACAGTTATGCGTTCAAGACCAGTAGTAGATCTAAGACTGCCATACACTGAAAAACGTTAACACTTCGCGTAAACTGCGAGACGAACCCCTGATGATGAAAACTAAATTATACACCCTAATGTTAACAAAGAAGTTAACATTTTCAGTTGTATACGGGATGTAACAGCGTTGTAAGTTGGCCTATGCTCTTAGCCCATGTCTTGCGTCATGGCCCCTGCAGCATGAAATTGTATGCCGACCCGCAACACTGAACATAGAGGTGTTCGCTATGGCCAAGGCACTGACCACCTGGTACGTTTATTGAAACTATGTTGTCGGTGTGGTAGCATGAATGTGTGCACCGCAGAAACATGGCAGAAAGTTCGGTTGACACCATAGAACGCTTGGTGGCTGTAACATTTCTAGAAATTTACTTCATTTTGCTCTCTGTTTTGGGTACACTCAACAAAGGGGTGGTGGATGGTAGGCGGGGCCTTTAGCTTAGTGTCGATTGTTGGCGGTACTGAGGTAATGTGGAATTGCACTCCGACAGGTGGTCGCGGCGACATGACGCTCTGGCCCCCCGCGCGCGGCGCGTGTGGTAGAAACGGGTTCGTTTGAAACAAGCAGGCCCGCCCTTCCGCCAAACGGAGTTGCCATCTCCACTTCGCTGCGCCGGCAACTCCGTTCGGCAGGGGCCGGGCCTGCTTGGCCTGCCGGCGGCGATGGTCGGGCCTTCGGGCCGACCATTTCAGTCTCTCGATTTACCAAAGGGCATAATCAAATAAATAATGTGACCCGTAAATCACTTAGCATTAATTGAGTAAACTAACGCGTCCGGTGGGGGGCCTGCGGCCCTAAAAATTTGGTCCTTGGACATGACAAAAGACTGTAACGGGGCAACACCGTGTCTTCACCCCACCCTTCTGCTTTGCTTAAGAATTAAAAAAATAAAACACGCGCGGATTGTAGATTGTATATTGTTTGCCAAACAGTTTTAAAACTTGACCTTTGGCAATTGTTTTCAAAATATCTACCTCTAGCTCCTAAACGGTTAAAGATGCGGTAAATCAAGGGGAACCATCAGACACAGAATGTGCTGTTTTGGGGGGTACTTCCTCTGACATTTTACGATTGGACGCCTCCTTGTACGTCTTCATGTGCAACGTGGTCATTTTCACCGTCTTTTCGTCGAAAAAACAACTCTAGCGCCCAAACGGTGCAAGATGGAGGCAAACGGACGAAATTTTAGCCCAAAGGGTTCTACTTTCACGAGTTACCCCTTAGGGGACCATAAAAAAAATTTGATTTTCTACTTTTTGGACCAACTCCTATTTCTTTGTTACCCCCTTTCACCCCCTTAGGGGTGGTTGCCAGGATTTGCACCAGGCGTTTCGCTGTCCAGGAGTGACCCCTAAGATACCCTGAAATTTGCAGACCTCTAGCTCATCTCCTTCCTCTTACACGGACGACAGACAGACAGACGGACGGACGGACACGAGAGCGGTTGCATAAGCCCGCTTTAATTCTTATTTTAAAAGCAGAAGGGCGGGCTAAAAAATACTGTGGTGCTAAGCACAGGCGTGTTGCTGTAGCTTGTCGTAGGTGGTTGACGTTACACCAAGGACAGTATGTTGCTGACCGAGACGCGGGATGGTGCCTCCCCTGGCGGCAGGCAGTGCGTGGTTCCATGTTGTAAGATTGGCCAGCTTCCGAAGACGTCGCTAGATGGCATTTAACATTAGGTCTCGCTGATCACTTCCGGTCTCCATTAACAGTCTTGCTCAGACGCCTCACATTCTGGAGCCACTGTCGCGCGCGCTCTACCCCGTCGGGAGGGTGGGCGTTGAGCGTGCACGTGAGGCTGACTTTTGGGCACTTGGTGACGAATCGTCGCCCACTGACAACATGTCAGTGAGTGCCCAACTTTCGCTGGCTCCCGCCAATGCAACTTTTTGTTTGCCACCATCATAACGAAATGCTGATTTTATTCTGCACCTCGTATACTAACGTAGGAGTACGTGCAGCAGCCGGTAGTGGCTGAGCTTTAGTCGTTAGTGTGCTAAAATTCACAAATGTGAAGGGGAAGGGAATATAGTAATAGTAATGTACAGATGGGAGGCCAGGGAAGAACAGGAAAGAGGGGGGGG